ATACAAGCAGGCAAGCAGGCAAGCAGGCAAGCAGGCAAGCAGGCAAGCAGGCAAGCAGGCAAGCAGGCAAGCAGGCAAGAAATCAGGCAGATAGGCAGTGCGTTTACGCAAATATACACGGACACACGCATGCATACTTAGATAGATTGATACATAGTTATATAAAGCAGGAAAAAGCATGCAAGCAGGCATGCAAGCAGGCAGGCAGACATTCAGGCAGGCAGGCAGGCAGGCAGGCAGGCAGGCAGGTAGGCAGGCAGACAGGCATTATTATATGCAAGCATGCATGCGTTCATGCAAATATGCATGGACGCACGCATGCATACATAGATAGATAAATACATAGATACATGGGTTATTATATGCAAGCATGCATGCGTTCATGCAAATATGCATGGACGCACGCATGCATACATAGATAGATAAATACATAGATACATGGATAAATAGACAGAAACATACTTACATACATTATACATACATTATATAGCAGGCAAAGGCATGCAAGCAGACATGAAAGCAGGCATGGATACTACATACATACATACATACATACATACACAAATAGTTTTAAAGATATAAACGCATAGATAGATATATACATAGACACATAGATACATAGGACCATATCGCGTACCTACCACGTTGTCGACATCTTTAAGCCCTAATCGGGCTATATTTATCATGGATTGCCAGAAATGTATTAAGATGGGCCTACTACCTCGAAATTAAATAGACACTCACATTTTTTTTTGTTGTTGCTATGTTTCACTCGTCCGCAGTTACACACTAATATCAAGGAATACTACAATATGTTTATCTCGTCCTTAGTTCTACACCAAGGCATACTATGACCCATTTCTACGTGTCTGATATCAAAGCATACAATAGCCCACTTGTACGTGCCTGATTTCAAAGCATACAATAGCCCACTTGTACGTGTCTGATTTCAAAGCATACAATAACCCACTCGCACGTGTCCACAATACTTTCAAAATCCACTATAACCGCAATTTATTTCTCAGAGTATAAATTCAACAAAAAAAATATCACTTGGTTTATATACATACGTATGAATACAAGAGCACGGGCGTTAATTATTTTATAGTCACGGGTGCCGTATAGACACAATCATCTGTGTTGAGAAGACTGTACAGTCGCTGACTCACTGCGACTCACTGTCCAAATGTCGTATTTTCTTATTTAGTGTCCACCTAACTCCAAAAAAAAATTATCCACTGTCCAGTCACTCGCCCCCGATAATAAATATGGCGAAAAATTGGCATATTATTTTTTTTAAATAAAAAATATGCACTGAAAACGTTAAATATGATATTTGAAATATGATATGAAATTTGGATAAAATATGTAATACACATGTTGATTTCCAAAATACGGCAAAAATAATAATATATGGTATATAAAAATTGAAATATGCCATATTTAAAAATATGCCATAAGTATGCCATATTTCTTATATATGCCATATTTCAAAAATATGCCATATTTTATAATAAATATACCATGTTTCTAAAATATGTCATATTTCTAAAATATGCCATATTTCTGAATAAGGCATATTTATGAAATATGCCATTTGTACAAAATATATATATATTTACGAAATATTTACAATATATAGTATTTCACGGCTGTATTATAAAAATTGCATAGGCATATAGCCTGTATTTTGCAGTTCTATCAAAGGATTTATATAGGCATATTGACTGTATTTGTTGTTATATTAAAATATTTATATAGGCAGAGTGGCTGTAGCTAGTAGCTATACGAAAGGAATTGTACAGGTGTATAGTAGCTGGTTTATAGCTGATGTAAAATATTGCATATACATTTTATTTTATATACTATCTTATGTAATTTATTTCGTGAATATGTATATTGTACATATGACATATTCCTGACATATACCATATTTGGT